AAACGCGTTCAGGAACTTCAGTGAGATCAATTAAACTAGGGATTGTAACTCTAACGTCCGGCAGGAGCCAGGTAGGGAGCCCAGCGGACTGAAATAACCCGAGAGGTTGGTGGGGAAATGAAGCTGCTTCTGGTAATGAGGGAATGAGGTCCCAGTTCCAATTTTTTCAAGAGAAAAATTCAGAAATCTGTATTTTCCTTAACGTGAAATTTCCCCCTTTAAAAAATGAAACACCTGTTTGCAATCTCTGGAAAGACCTCTGCCCGCCCCAAGCCTAGGCGGAGAGGGGCTGCAAAGGCAGACCAAGGTTTTGCCTCTCTCACCCGCCTGGAAACACAAGCTGACTTTGTAGAAGATCCCCAGGGAACAACTGTTCTAGTCATTTTACAGAAGGGATCAAAGAAGCTCAGAAAGGGTAAGATACTTGCCTCGGGCTGCACAGCAAGTTAAGAGGAGGCACTGGGATTCGACCCATCCTTAGACTCTGTCTGAAATAGTTTCCCAAAAAGCCCCCGGAGATGGTTTGGAAAGGGCAGAGCCAACATATTCAAACCTTCTCTCAGATTTCTAGGGCGCCTCCCTCTGCTAGCTGGCTTCACTCATTTCTTTTAGCCTATACACCAACTCTGGGCACGATGTCTGGGCACCATCCACATTTCAAAGATGGGGCTGTTGAGGTCCAGAGAACCTCCAAAACCTGTGCCCTTTTCCCCAGAGAGGGCAAGACACCAGGCTGAGGTCAGACAAGAGAGTCAGAGCTCAGAGCCGTGTTTCCAGAAACTCCCGAGCCTCTCTGATCCATTGACACAGGCAGGATGTGGGTGACCATTTCCGTTTTGCAGACGAGGGGGGATGCGGCAAAGTCATGAAGCAAGTTTCTAACAGGAGGGTGGCAGTCAGAGGACCCACCCAGAGCGTTTTGTCTTGGCCTGGGTGGTTGGAAGGATGGCTCTTCCTTTCTACAGAGGTGCTGCTTGGCTGGGAAGATGACCCAGAGGCCCAGGAGCAGCCCTCTCACCCCCTCCCTGCCCAGTACCTTGTAGCTGCCCCCAAGGCCTCCATGGCTCTTGCCAGCTGCAGCCTGCTCAGGTGCTCCATGCTGTTCCGCCATCTCCCCAGGAATACCTCTGGCTTCAAATCAAAGGAAAATGGGTCATTGGATCCACCTGGGAAAAGCCAGGTGTTGCTGTGACTGGAGTCCAGGATGAGCTACAGAGCCTTGCTGCCCACAGGGCATGGCCATAACTTAGGATCGACATTCGGTCATTCAGTCATTCAGCAAACGTCCATTGAGCAGCTACCATGGGCCACGTGGACTGAGACAGTGGGATCAGGAGCCCCATTGGACAGAGGGGAACTCTGAGGCTCAGCAGAGCGAGGCCACTTCCTCAAGCACACAGAGGAAGTGGCCTGGGTCGGGCCTGGCTCCAAAGCCCGTGCCATTTTCCCCCGATCCAGATGCTCCCCGAAACCCAGGTTTCCCAGAGTTCTCTGCAGATGTCCCACCCCCAGACCCTGGCTAAAGGGTGGGCTTCAGGGGGTTTCCTCTACAGGGGTCTCTCCCACCTCCAAACTCCAGGAACTCTTTTGTTCACTGGTTACTTTGTTCACCAAACATTCCATGAGCACCTACACAGAGCCAGGCTCTGGGCTGGGTGACCAGGAGGCACAGGAGACCCCAAATGTCGGGAGATGGACAGACAGACCTCTAGAGAAAGCGCTTGTAAGACCAGCTCCTTGGATACTTGATCTGGGTCAGTCTCCCTGCGTTCGGTTACTCATTCCTTAAGCATTTATTGAATACAACTGTGTACCAGCCACTTCAAGACCCAGACACCGACAGTTCTCCTTCATTGCTACAGGGACAGTGACACGCAATACAGGCCCCTGCTGCAGTCACATGGAAGCATGCTTATCATTGTCGCACCCACGGACACACACAGGACTGTTCTGTTTGTCAGCACACACACACATACACGCACACACTCACAAAAGTTTCTATGGTCACTATCAGTTGTATTTCACCCGTGGGCTCACAGGACAGTTTCTCTCTCTCTCTCTCTCTCTCACACACACACACACACACACACCCCTGCCCATTTCAGACATCCACAGTGGTACACAAGGCACCTACATCTACATCCCACATCCAACTGTTACCCACCCACGGCCACCCCAGCACGGCCACCCAGCATGCCCAGCTGCACAGCCCATATACTCTGGACACGGGCCTAACCACGCACAGCCTGCGGGCTGTCTGTTCTGTCTGTCCCAGCCTCAGCAGGAAACAGGGCTTGGTCCAGCTCACAGGGGACTCTCGGGGGACTTGGCAGGTACCACGTGTGCCCACTCCCCTCCCTCGGAGGGGCTGTTTTGGAAGGTCCCCTGCCCTAAGCACATGTCCAGGGGCTTGGACCCTGGCCACTGCAGACAAGGGTCCCCTGTTCCACCCCCAGTTGGGCTG